ATAATGTGATATCTTTAACTGAGTGTGATGGAAAGGCAAGATAAACTGTACAATATGGTTTATCTATTGAACTACGTATTAAAATGTCTGACTGCTAATGAAATGAATGAATTGTTATTCCGGTTTCTTAACTTTAAGGTGAATTAATCTACCAGATTTAGTAAGAGTAATGGCATCATGGATTGGGTGATTGGGGAGAGTACATCCTTGTGTGTAAAGAAACACTTTAAGAAACAGAGTTTTTAAATGCAATGTAGGCCCTATACGGTGTAAAATGAACACAATAAACACAGGCATTCTTTATAAACGTTTTACGATCAGACGTATGACCTATACTATGCTGTAGCGGCCTAATGTAGGCCTAGTAGACCTACTGAACTACGGTAATATGTGAGATAGAACATAGAAACGGGGATAGAAATCACCACCCAATATTTTCAGTTTAAGCACCGCTTTTGAATAAGCGCCGCACTGAAACCTCCAAATATTTTATATAAGCGTGATTATTCGAGCAATTAGGTATTCCCTCTCGAGTCTATCCGTGTTCGAATTCCCATGCTCCTCAAAAATATTCTGAAACGTACTGAAATTGGCCGGGCATTTGAAGCACAGTAAAATTGAATTGAATTTACAATATATGCACAAATCTCTTATACTGTATGCATCAGATATTAATCTTTCATTTTCATCTTATACAGAGTACACAATAAAAAGAGCTTTGATTGGTCTTGTAAAGCAAAAGTACAAAGGCATAAAATCCATCTTGCTCTCGACTGAACCAAGACCCCTTCCATTTTGTTTTTACGTAATTCCAAGTAATTCTTGTTTTTTATTCAATTCATGAATATCTTTATTCTCCTTGTCACTCAGTTCTTTAATTTGTGTCTCCAAAGTTTCTTCCTTTAATTTATCAGATCTTTTTTTTGTGAACCATAACGGATAGGCATATCTCTAATTGCGAGCAGAATCATTTCAAAGAAAAGTTGATCGTCGATCACAAAACATATGTCATCATTTTTTATGTTGTCAATATTTTCCAATTTGTATGGGGTTGCTGCATACATAAATTCTGTATCTCTAGTTATTTCTTTAACTTTTTAACGAAGTTCTCATCTCGAAGAAGCGAATTGTTAACTTCCATTAACCATTTCCTCGCTCGATATTTAATAAATTAAGTTTAATTGTGATTGAGTGATCAGTATGGTAACCAGGTATTATGTCCGAGGAGGGAATCTTATTTAATAATTCTGTGGAAATTAAAAAATAATCCAGTCTACCATGCTTCCCGCCAAATTCTGTCTCCATGTATATCTTCGCAAAGCTGGATTTTGAATACGCCACGGATCAATTAAATCTTGTGTATTGCATAAATCGATAACTTAATGCCTTTCATTTTGCATTGTTAATTCTAACATAGTTTAATCAAGGAGGTATAAAAACCTCCTTGGTTTAATGAATCAATAGCTGGGTTTAATAATAAATTCCAATCCCTGCAAATAATGGTGTGTGGGTTATCAAAATCGTCATTTAAATTGGTATAAAATATCATGTTATCAATATTCGGTCCATATACTGTAAGGTAATCAAATTAATATTATATCCTTCTAATTCAATATCAAGAGCAAGTAGATTACCTTCAGTGTCTTTTAGAAGTACAGTATTTTTCATGCGAAAATTAAACCCTGTATTAAAAAGTATGGCAACGCCCCTTGTGTTGCTTTTAGGAACTGAAGTAACATTCAAGGCCCCATTCGTTCCTGATAAAGTGCTCTTTTTCTTCGGTAAAGTGGGTATCTTGTAGGCAATGTATTGTGTATTTCTTTACCCTTTAAAAACATCCCTTCGTTTGTTAAAAGTCGGAAAGCCCTCTACAGTTCACAGATGCTACTGTGATTCCACTATTTTGGGGTTGATGATTAATCAATTTGTTATGTATTGTCCGAACAATACTAATTTATATACAGCTAACGATTTAGGGATTCTACGTAAATCACATATCCGCCTATATTTAAATTGGTAGATAAAATAGGTACTGTAGTTACAGTACAAGACCAGCCGGAACCAACCAGGGTATCATCGCAAATTTACCTTTGTGTCTTAATCTTATCTTCTCCTTTACTAGCAGACTTTTCTCTTTCTCCTTACTTTTGTGGACACATCATCCGACACTGTGATAAACTTTCCTTTGTATTTTTTCTGTTTCAATATCTTCGGGGCATTTTTTAAAAATTCTTTCTCTATCCACATAACTCAAAAATTTAATAACTGGCTTAGGGTTTGACCCTTGGTTTCCCATCCTATGGGCATGCTCTATGTCAACACTCATGTTGAAGCCATTTTTTATAAAGTCTTTCATGAAAGTTCTACAGCTTTCCCCTTCCGCTTTCTCTGGGATCCCACAGACTAAGTTGTTCCTCCTGGACTTATTTTCAAGATCCTCGATTGACGACTGCAATCTTCCTGTGACTTCATTTAATCCATTTTTTCAATTCCTCTTTATTTTCACCAACAGATTTCTCTAGGCTTACAAACTCTTCATATTTTACACATTGTGAGAATTCATATCTATTTTCGTCTATCTCTAAATTAAGAACCTCTACACCAGACTCTAGTTCCCCGACTTTTAAATGTACCTCCCTATAATCAGATATCATTTTGAAATGATTAAGTATATCTCCCTCCACCTTATTCAATGTACAGTAGCCTCCATTATTGTCAGCTTATTCAAAGCCTTTTCCTGCATGTCCACTAGCATATCGATTTTACCGGCCTTGTCGGTGGTGTTG